GATCCAGCTCCCTGCTGATGTGCCTGGGAAATTAGCAGAAGTTTGCCCAAGTTCTTGGGCCCCTGCGACCACGTGGGAGACCTGGGTGAAGCTCTTGGTCCTGGCTGGCTTTGGTCTGGCCCAGCCCTGGCGTTGCAGCCACTTGAGGGGTGAATCAGCAGATGGAACATCTCTTCTCTGTCTCTCCCTCTTTCTCTGTAACTCTGCCTTTCAAATAAATAAAGCAAAAAATACAATTAGCAGATTCCCTCCCTGCTAATATATCCAGTAAAGAGTGGATTTTTGGGTGACCACCTACACTAAGGTTTGTTGTTTCCCCAAAGGTGGGGTTTGGGAGATGAAAGTGGGAGGGTGGTGAGTCTCTGTGTGATCAAGGTTTTGGCTCCAAGATGAACTTCACTTTCACCTTTCCCAGCACTGAGACTTCCCTAGGTAACACTGACCTGTGATGAGCAATCACAACATAGCTAACCTTCTCCTCATTTTAAACTACTTTTTTCCATGCCTAACTGCTAAACTGGCTTTTCATCTGTGTTACTGGGTTTCCATATGTGTTGTATGATCCGGTCACAGTTGTCTACGTGAAATGGTTACTGGTTCTTGGCTGCAATGTTTTCAGTACCAGCAGTGACCATTAGTTTAATTTCAACCAGTGTCATTCAGCGTCAAATTATCATGAGGGCTGAAGAAAGTGTAGCATTTTTGTCTTTCTGGGAAGTACAGAGCAACAACGAACAGTAGCAGGCTAATGCTGAATGATCCCCCACACAGGTACCTGACCTGGCATGGGTTCAGGCAACAAGAGGTGGACTGCACCCTAAATTGCTTAGGATATATCAAGAACATGCAGCTTAAATAAATCTTAAAAAGGGGGGGGCTGGCACTGTTGCGCAGCAGGTTAACTAACGCCCTGGCCTGGGATGCCAGCATCCCATATGGGTGCAGGTTCGAGACCTGGCTGCCCCACTTCCAATCCAGCTCTCTGCTATGGCCTGGGAAAGCAGTAGAAGATGGCCCAAGGACCCTGCACCCATGTGGGAGACCCGGAAGAAGCTCCTGGCTCCTGGCTTTGGATCGGTGCAGCTCTGGCTGTTGTGGCCAATTGGGGAGTGAACCATCGGATGGAGGACCTTTCTCTCTTCCTCTCCTCTCTCTGTGTAACTCTTTAAAATAAATAAATCTTAAAAAAAGAAGAACATGTAGCTTGTCAAAGACTGAGAATTGGGAACTAGAGGAGAATACTCTGGACATCTGTCCCCTGTGCTCAACCTGTGCAACTCCTGTGAGATGAGATGGAACAGGATTCAAGGGCTTCTTAAGGTGGCCTCCTGCGGCCATGGACCTGGATAGCTGCCCAAGTCTTTGCATCCTGGTGACCTCCAGGACATTCTTTACGCCCCCATAAAGAGGCCCTTTAGCGAAACCCACAGAGAACTGACTGTGATTTACTGAGCTGTAGGGGTTCCCACCGTGTGTCAGCTGTGACCTTCCTGACTTGGGGAAATCAAGAATTTTCAGGTTCCAGCACATTCTTCTGGGTTCTACCCAGTGCCTCCCCTGTAGTTAGCTTCTGCCTGGCATAGGGAGGCTCCAAGATTCTGCATCTACCCCCCAGCTCCAATGCAAAAACACAGACTGGATTTACTTTACTTCTTCGTTCTTCCTCACAAGAGGACCACACTTAACCTAATTCCCAAATGAACCGCACTTGCAGCTCTAGGGCAAATTCTTTTAAATGAAAGGATGGGGAGGGTGTTGGTGTTAGGGTGAAGACCCTCGAAGGGTTGCCCACATCCCAAATCAGTGTTTGGGTTCCAGTCCTGGCTCTGCTCCCATTTCCAGCTTCCTGTTAATGTGCACCCTGGGAGGCAGCAAGTGGTGGCTCAAGTAACTTGGGTCCCTGCCACCCAAGTCGGAGAGCTGAATTGAGTCTGGGTGCCTAGCTTTGGCCTGGCCCAGTCCTGGCTGTTGAAGGTTTCTGCAGAGTGAACCAGCAGACTGGCAATGGGTTTTATTTGTCTTTCAAATAAATAAAAATTTGAAAAATAAAAAATAAACGAGGTGTGGTCATTTTGGCAGTGAATAAAGCTGCCGCCTGCGACACTGGCGTCCCATATGGGCACTAGTTCAAGTACTGGTTGTTTCATTTCCAACCCAGCTCCCTGCTAATGGCCTGGGAAAAGCAGGGTCTCTGCCACCCACGTTGGAGAGCTGGATGAACCGCCTGGCCCAGCTCTGACCATTGTGGCCATCTGGAGAGTGAACTACAGGATGAAAGATCTCTCTTTGTGTCTCTCTTTCTCTGTAACTCTTTCAAATAAATAAATACATTAAAAAAAAAAGACAGTAAGTAAACCAATCAGGGGTGGGAGTTGTGGCACAGTGGACTAAGCTGTCGCTTGGGATGCCCTTGTCCCATACTGGATTAAATACTGTTTTTTAATTTTTTTAAAAAAGGCTACTTATTTTCATTTTATTTGGAAGGTACACACACACCCACACAAACGGGAACCATTAGAGACAGCTCATTCATCTGCTGTTTTACTCTACAAATGCTTGCAACAGCTGGAGCTAGACCAGGCCAAAGCCAGGAGCTGGGAACACAGTCAAGGTCTCCCAATGGGTGGTGGGTGGCAGGGACCCAAGTAACTGAGCCCTCATCGGATACCTCTGCAGGATGTGCATTAGTGGGAAGCTGGATCCAAAGTGAAGCTTATGCTTGAACCAGGAACTCCAATGTGGGATGCAGGTATCCCAAGGGGTGTCTTAACTGCTGTGACACCTGCCCCAGGACTAACTTTTGATTCAGCAATTTTTTAAAAGATTTACCTTTATTTATTTGAAAGAGGGAGTTACAGAGAAGTAGAGGCAGAAGCAGAGAGAGAGAGAGGTCTTCCTTTGCTGGTACACTTCCCAGATGGCTAAAATGGCTGGAGCTGTGTCAAGCTGAAGCCAGGAGCCAGGAGCTTCTTCCTGGTCTCCCACGTGGGTGCAGGGGCCCAAGGACTTGGGCCATCTTCCACTGCTTTCCCAGGCCATAGCAGAGAGCTGGATCAAAATGGAGCAGCTGGGACTCGAGCAGGGCCCATATGGGATGCCAGCACTGCAGGTGGCAGCTTCACCCACTATGCCACAGCACCAGCCCCACTTTATTAATTACTAAATTGAAAGGCAGAGTGAAACAGAGAGAGAGAGAGAGAGAGAGAGAGAGACAGAGAGAAGAAACAGATTTTCCATCAGCTGGTTCACTCCCCGAGTGCCCCCAATAGCTGGGGCTAGGCCAGGAGTCCACAATTTCATCTGGGTCTCCCACATAGATGGCCGAAATCCAGGCACTTGGGCCTCACCGCTGGCTCCCAGGTGCATTAGCAGGAAGTTGGAGTTGGGAGCAGAGTAGACAGGACCTGAACTAGTACTCAGATACGGGATGCAGGAGTCCTCATGTGGCAGCTTCATCTGCTGAACCACAACGCCTGCTATAAAAGCAACTTTCTTCGACATCGCTTCCATTCTAGATTAGCTGCCAAACTGGGCTGAGTAAAGACACTGAGTTAGGAAAAGAACAAAACTTCTATTTATGTATGTCACCCTTAAGTTTTTTAAAATTTATGTGTGTTTAATTTTGAACACAGTATTCATATAGTACTACATATATGTCATTAACCAATAAATATGTGATTGAAATGGTTTGAAGATATTATTGTAGCTAATGCTTATTTTCAAATTAGTCATTTATTTGAAAGTCTGAGCGACAGAGGGAGAGTCAGAGACAGAGATCTTCCATTTGCTGGTTCACTCTCCAAATGCTGGCGCCAAGAGCTAGGAACTCTATCCAGGTTTCTCATGTGGATGGCAGGAACCCAAATACCTAGGTCATCATCTGCTGCCTCTAAGGAACATCAGCAGGAAACTGGATCAGAAGCATGCAGTAGCCAGGACTCAAATCAGGCACTCAGGCCGGCGCCGCGGCTCACTAGGCTAATCCTCCGCCTAGCGGCGCTGGCACACCGGGTTCTAGTCCCGGTTGGGGCGCCGAATTCTGTCCTGGTTGCTCCTCTTCCAGTCCAGCTCTCTGCTGTGGCCAGGGAGTGCAGTGGAGGATGGCCCAGGTGCTTGGGCCCTGCACCCCATGGGAGACCAGGAAAAGCACCTGGCTCTTGGCTTCTGCCATCAGATCAGCGAGGTGCACCGGCCGCAGCGCGCCGGCCGCGGCGGCCATTGGAGGGTGAACCAAAGGCAAAGGAAGACCTTTCTCTCTGTCTCTCTCTCTCACTGTCCACTCTGCCTGTCAAAAAAATAAATAAATAAAAAATAAATAAATAAAAAAAATCAGGCACTCAGACATGGGATGTGGGCATCCCAAAATGGTGGCTTAACCCACTGCCACTGTACCACAATGCCTACCCCTAGCTAATGGTCTGTCTTTTGCAAAACCATAGACATGAATTCAAAGATAAAAGTGAAATCAGTTCTTTCCCAAACAGTGAAAGAAGACAACTTAGCAACTGAGAGGTCTTGCAGTAAACATGACTTTACTACTGTGAAAATCTATAGTCTCCAAAGAGGCAGGAAATGCCTTACATTTAGCCAGAGGCATGAATAGTTCGGGGTCAGCTTAATTACTCATCTATCTTTGACCTATCAATTTCAGCTTACAGTTTCTTATTCACTTTAAGTGCGAGCGTTCATGCTAAAAAGTGACTGTGCCTGTTGAAACTTAACCAAAAAAGCAAGGGGAACTGCTAGAACAGAAGAGGCCATTTCCTTTGTTGAGTACTGCTATAGCCCTGCTCTGGAAGCACTGTCTGTCTTAATTTCTACGAGACGTTTTTAAAGGAAACATGGGCTCACAGTCCTTGAACCAGCTCATTGTCAAGGCACCGCCTCTAGAACTTGTGTGTCAATGGAGACAACTTTTACCCAACAATTCTATGTGACAAGCAAGACAGGCCTGTGGCTCACTCTGAAGCTTCCTGCCTGGCATGGGATAGGACTCATACCTGGGATGCTCTCAAGTTTCCTTCTGAGCTCTTCATTTTCTTGTTGTAGTGAAATAACCTCCTGCTCCAGCTCTTGGCATCGAGGACAGTAGCCTTCCTCTTCCTCCTCCTCTTCCTCCTCTGGCAGCGTGGAGGACGATGGGTGACCGTGGGATTCGGATGTTGCTGGGGAGGTCCAGCCACCTAGTGTGTGCACCGGGGAGGTCGACAGGGGATCCACGTCAGCCAAGTGGCCATACTCGCTGACCGATGAGGTGTTAGGAGTCGGAAAGCTCCCCGAGAGCAGGTAATTCTGCAGGGAGTCAGTGAAAACTCTCAAGAAGGCAGAAGTCTGCTGTTTCCTTTGCATATATTGCATCTCGATGTCTACATTGTCTGAGGTCTGACTGTGGACCCCTTTCCCAACGTGACACTGCTCCTGTCTTTCGTTATAATTTGAGCCTTCTTGCTTTACACAAGAAATCATGGATTGAGAATGGTTGGAGTCCAGAAGTTTCCCTCCACAATTTAATAGGCTAAGAACTCGACTGCACTGCTGGGCAAAGGCATCCAAGATCATCCGGCTCTCTGCAACAAACAAAAAGACACGGCAGTGACCAACACGCAAGGGTGAGGGATGAGGAAGGTGTTCAACGCTAACATTATTTACACATAATCGGAGAATGAAGTCTACTCTGTCATAAACCAAGATGACCCAGTGAATCCACTGTTAACAGGACATCCCGCTTCCTGCGGTCCTGCAACTGGTGGGGTACCTTCAGTCCTTACTCTAGCACATGGCGGCACCGTGACTCTGGGTACCTGCATAGGTATTTCAGTCTGTGGCATCCACCGGCCTGCACAGGTCTGGACTCACACCTTTGGCTTTATAAATACCCTTTCTCTAACGAATCGAAGTGAGCTACCACAGACTCAATTCCTCATTGATAGGAGGGCTTACAGCAATCATTACTGCTATTTCTGGAGTGCCCTCATGCCCTTGCCATTAATCAGCTGATACAATCCCTGTCGACAGTACGTAGCTCCCAGATGCACACTGGAGAAGAAAGATAAGTCTTTGTGAAGAGCTCACTGAGCTAAAACAAAGAGTGGGCCTATAGGCAATGGATGAGCACAAAACAGTACCGTACACGTCATCCAATATCAGCATTCATGGCCCTTCTTTTAATTTACCCCTCACTTGGATTTGTTGTCAAAGCCAATGTTTTGGCTGACCAAGATCAGTACCATCTGAAAGTCAGCAGTGTTTCTTCTTGGAACCTCTTTCATTAGACTGCCGAATCTCCTACAATGGCACGTGCTGTGGGAGCCAGGTAGCACGCATGTATGAACTTTAAAGCATACTAATTGTCAAGCAGTGAAAAGCAAAAGCAAACGGAAAGCAATCAACCCACTGCAAAAACAAAGGAGGAAAAAAAGCCCTGCAAATTGTGAAAGTGTGATTTTAAAAACTTCATTCGTCCAAGGGTCCTAAGGTAAATGTCATCGGGGCAGCCTCTCGTTGGCTAAATACCGCCTAGAATGGACTATCACACACAGAGAGGTAGAGTCTCCAGGGCACAACACAGACGGACCAGGACGCCTCTCACTTCCTCTCCCCCTTTCCTAGAATAAGGGCAACACACAAAGTATTGGAAATTTTAGATGCCAATTGCTTCTGATAAAATGTAGCTAGGTAGTGTCTCTCTAAAAGTGCTGACTAGTCCATTTTTCCCCTAGGGGGAGAAATCTCTTTTAAAATAATAGTGAGATGCTCAAGGGTTTCTATGGGAGTACACAGAAAAATCCTCTAGAAAACCCAGCATGCGGGGCCAGTGCTGTGGCGCAGCAGGTTAAAGCCCTAGCCCGAAGTGCCGGCATTCCATATGGGTGCCAGTTCTAGTCCTGGCTGCTCCTCTTTTGATCCAGCTCTCTGCTATGGCCTGGGAAAGCAGTGGAGGATGGCCCAAGTCTTTGGGCCCCTGCACCCGCATGGGAGACCTGGAAGAAGCTCCTGGCTCCTGGCTTCGGATTGGCACAGCTCCGGCTGTTGAGGCCATCTGGGGAGTGGACCAGCGGATGGAAGACCTGTCTATCTCTACCTCTCTATATAACTCTGTCTTTCAAATAAATAAAATAAATCTTTACAAAAAGAAAGAAAAAAAAGAAAACCCAGCATGCTATTGCCAATGAAGTCAGACTTCAAGAGACTTTAGTGTAGGGGTTGGCACTGGCCTAGCAGTTAAGCACTGATGAGATGCCCGTGTCCCATATGGGAGTGCCTGGGTTCCAGGCCCAGTCTGTTTCTGATTTCAGATTCCTGCTAATGCACACCCTGGGAGGCAGTGGTGATGGCTCAAGTAATTGGGTCTCTGCCACCCACGTGGGAGATGGGTTGAGTTCCTGCCTCTGGGGCATTTGGGGAGTGAACCAGTAGGTCTCTTTCTGCTTCTCAAATAAATGTGTTTTTGTTTTTGAAGACACACCTCATTGCAACATTCAATGCTCCACTGTATTCTTCTTTCTTTTTCTTTCATGAAGTTCACTAAGGTATTGGGGGACAGGGACCCAAGCACCCTTTCTCAACTACTTTATAAGAGTTTGTACAAAGCCTGCAGCACAGTGCCTGGCACACTGAAGCATCCCTCACATCTCCTAACTCTACAGAAGATACTTCCAAAGGTTCACAGAATATGCAATTAAGAGATACATTTGTTCTGGCACCAAAAAAAATTAGAAATCTAGTCAGAGTTTTTTCCCCACAATATACATTTTCCATAAACGTTTTCTTTTTTAAAGATTTATTTATTCATTTGAAAGGCCGAGTTACACAGAGAGAAGGAGAAACAGAATAGAGAGACCTTCTATCTGCTGGTACACTCCCCAAATGGCTGCAAAGGCTGGAGCTGGCCTGGTCTCTGAAGCCAGGAGCCAGGAGCTTCCTCTGGGTCTTCCACATGATGCATGGGCCCAAGGACTTGGACAATCTTCCACTGCTTTCCCAGGAGCATTAGCAGGGAGCTGGTTCAGAAGTGGGGCAGCCAGGACCCATATGGGACGCCAGGACTGCAGGCCAGGGCTTTAACCCATTGCATCACAGCACCAGACCCCTCATGAACTTTTAGCTACCATTCCAGAATTCCTGTGAAACACCCCCAGGCAGATCACAGAGATCAGACCTTTTCCATTCAGGAGAGGGTCATGGACTGCACTGGGCTGCGAGGGCTACACGGAGCTTCGAGAAACACCTCCTGAATGCATGGCAGGGACACTTGTTAAGTAGTGGTCCTTAGTCTATAACATTTCTAGGTTTCCCTGGCTGGGCCGGCGCTAACAGGACCGCTTTCACCAGGCCAAGTGTCCACAAGACTATTTTCTTCTCCAGATAGCACCATATCACTCTCCAGGGGCAGTGCTACCCATGGACTTGGACAGGAAGACCCCAGCCCGGCCTACCTCCTATAGCTCACCCTCTCTCCCCAGGTGAGACAGCCAAGATCCAGGAACTGTACTGAAACTTTTAAGTGCCAGTGCTGGCCTCTTCCCTGAGCAACCTGCCCAAAGACAGACCGTGGTACTGGAGCTTGGAAATCTGGATTGGGACAGTCATATCTGTACATGTGAGGTCCATCCTAACAGAGAACGAAGCTAGGAGTGGGCAGAGCACACTGTGAATTGGCTGCAAATTCCAAAGTAAAACCTGGATGCCACAAAAGTATAACTGCCAAGGTGGGTTCACAGGGTATGTTTTACTGAATAGTTTGCTAGCTTCATTCATACTTTTTAATTACTTGCTATACGGTATGTACTTTCATCCTCAGTCTCATAAATATTTGGGTGCCATTTCTTTACAATGATCACATCAACAGAAAGTAAATAGCTGACCCACATAAATCAGGTTTAAGATGGTACACTCTCATTTTTTCCCCCTTTCTGGTTTTTTGTTCTTTTATTAGTAAAATCAAAGGCTGATATTGATTGGGAATTTTCAATTCTAGCACAACAGCCGTTTTCATTCATTTTAATCCTATAATCCTATTCTAGACCTGAAGTTGTATTTACTGTTTGCATTTTAATCAGCATGGTCCCAATTGATTTACAACCTATACACCTTAAACATAACCTTGATGAAAGGGACAAAATAGGAAGCGAAAGGCTAAAATAGAATTGTCTAGAAAGAACTGCTCCAATATATTTGTTCAGTGCCCTACAAAACACTCAGTAGTTTTAATCATATTGATGAATTACATTATGGCATGGATTTTAAGGGAAAAAAAAATCTGACTTAGGGACAAGTGTGATTTGTTTTCTTAATTGAAGGATAAACTCATAACCTGCTGAGAAAAAATCATTATGTAATATGCTACATTATGAAGATAATCTATTAAAGTGCACTCAGGATATCAGAGAATAGCTACAACCATAAAATAGTTCTTGCCTGCAGTTTTTAAAATGCTTCATTCTGAATTGGTTCTCAGAACTGATATATACAAAAATAGCAATTGCAATCCTTAAAGTTGAATTTCTCCTCTTTCCCATACTTTGAAATATTTGAGTAGTCCTTTAACACCGATACATGAAAAATATTACTATTACACTGGTGGGAAACAGCAAATCTCTCCACTTAATACACATTCCAGCGAGCAACACTTCACTTTTCTAGACAGGATATAATTAGAAATGCAAGTACTGTGCACTGTCCATTATCACTAAGAAATGGAGAAAACTTCTGTTTTCATATGAATACAATTGAATGGCTACTGATCCATGATTCTTAATTGAGCCAAGTGTGAACATGTATTTTGATTTTTTTTAACTGTTTTTTTTTTCCTAGTCATAAAATGTTCTACTCAAGGGCTAGCTGGAAAGTATCAAGTCAACAGTTGACAAAGGGGCTTTGAAATTATCTACCTTACCCTTAACTTTCCTAAATTAAACACCATAAAATGTTAATCAATCACAATCACAATGCACTCTAAAATGACTACCACTAATTTGTTTTCCCTTATTGTGCAGCCTGTTGGAAGATAGAATCAGACTGCAAACTGTGCCTAGTCTGATTCTAAAACCTGTACCCATGATTTCTTTTAATTAAAAAATTTATTTCTTGCAATTCCTCTTAATTTAAGTGGTTTAATCCACCCTAAATCTGATAAGTGAATACGGGGAGGGATGGGAAGTAGGCAATCAAACAGAGTCTCCCTACTTTAACCTCCTTCTTTGTAAGTAAAGCCTTGAATGGAATTTGCCCATCACCGCGGATCCCCTAGAGAATTCTGTTTCTATGAAGGAGATCACAGTAGTCAAGATTAGTGGTAACCTTTTGATTTTAGCCCAGTGAAGGGTGAAATATATTAATATTAAAAACGCAGAAGCACAGATTTTATTTTAGTGACCTACTCTCACATATCCATATATTATATCTACCAAAAGGATTTCCAACTACTTCTAAATAGGTGATTTCCTTAAAACACCAGTTTAACTTCTTTTTAACAGAGGACTCCATGGGCTAGAGAATATAAGTCAGAAAACGAAAGCATCCTTGGACGCATCACCCTTGTCTTAAGTCAATGAATAATGTCTTTCTTAAAAAAATGCCATCTAATTTTTTTTTCATAATGGCAAACATCAACACAGCAAAACAGGATGCAATTTTTCTAAATAAATAAATCAATGATGTGTCAAAAATTAACAGATGAGTTAATATACTCGGTGCTATCAAAACCAGATGGTGCTTCCTAATATTCATCCTGCTCAGTCAATCCCTGAATATTTTCTGGACCATCGGTATATAAAATAGGATGCTGCTATTTGTGATGGCAAACAAAAGCAATCATGCCTGCCAAGCACATACTATAACAGGCAGCATTTCAGCTCTGCTAGACAGAAAGTAATTAGAATGCTTTTAATGTCCAAAAGAATGATGCTGATAGGCTGCCACAGATGTGTAGATTTATGAATATTTATATGGTGGTTTATAGCTGACACTTTTATCAGTTGAAGAAGATAAAATATCTGCCTGACTCAAAAGCTTGACAGTCAGGTTAATAAAATCTCATTAAAGAGAATGACCTATGCAATTATATAGGATTTATTGTAATTCATTTTTGATTGTACTCTGCTTAAAGATGCAATTTCCCATTTCCTGATGCCAAATTTAGGTTGCATATCAAGATCTACGTGGGTTTTAACTCTAAGCCTCCCACAGAGGAAAAACATGCTTTTAAAACCAAAGCGTCTTACCGCTTTTAAGAAAAATTACACTCTTCACAAGATTTTATAATAATGTTGAAAAAAAAAACATTTTTAATCATATTTCTCTTCCCAATGGTTTATGGCTGCTCCTGGCAAGCAGAGAGTCCCGTCAACCTTTTCATCTCCTCCCTGCCCTTACTCAGTTATGCTTCTTCCATCTCTGACTCATTTCATCACACTCACGTCTTCACGATTTTCAGTTTGCTAGGTGGCCTGAAATGCTACAATTACACTTTTGTGAGGGTGCAACAGGCAAAGCACACCCCACTGCCACCCAGTAGGCTTAACTAGCCAAGGTGTGCCACATCCTCATTGGCTCAAAGTGGAACCACGGGCTCCTCAAAGAACCAATCAGCTCTTCAGGTGGCTCTTCACCTGATGGTCACTCACATCACGGCGCCTGTCAAGGGATAGCTTTGTCCATCAGTGACCCACATTATGATCATGCTTCCTGTCTAGTCCATGGCCTCCTCCCCAGCCCCCAGACCATTTTCCTACTGTGTGGAAGAAACCTACCATCTAATTCCCATCTTTCCAAAAAGCACTGGCTGCGACCAAACTTACCCCAGTCTACGTAACCTCTTCAAAACAAAACACAACCTTCGGAATACAAGGAAATACAGGAAGGTTTGAAGGGCACCAGAAAGCAACGTTACAGTCCCTTAGGTGCAGTGGTATTATGGTTTCCGCCAGGGGACCTAAAGGAAATAAACTAAATAGGACATTCGAAGAATGACTGAAAGAGAACATTAGGAGCGGGGGAAAAACAACCCCCAAAAACTCCACATGGAGGGAAGACAGCAGAAAAGTCGCCCTGGAAGGAGGGCCAGTGACCGGTGCAGAGAGGAGCATCTACAGGGAAAGGCCAGGTGAAGATTATGGAGGTGAGTGGAGACAAGAGGGGGCAGACGCACAGTGCATGAAGGCAGGTTCAAGACGGAAAAGCCCAGAGTGAAGGTGGAAAACAGATCACAGCCTCAACGGGCCAGATGCAGGAGAGGGGGCCCTAAAGAACAAGGTGGTGGGACCGAGGCGGCCCAAAGGCATAAGGGAAACCACCCCCAACCGTGGAGACCTACACAAAATCAAGGACACGCGGACCTGAGGGAGCAAACGTGGCCATTACCAAGCAGTAGAGCTCACATCCAGAGAGAAAGCTCACGGACCTCGGGAAGAAAGCTCAAACAGAAGCAGTGGGCAAGCAGCCCAACGAAGAACGTGCACACAACGGACGGCTGGGCCAGGGGCGCCGGCACACAGCAAGCCACGTGGAGGCCACGAAGAGCCCCACACAACCCCGGCCGCGGCTCCGAACCCGACAGGACGGGACAAGAGCAAGCCCTCCCCCAGAACCGGGAATTAGATTTTCCTTCTGCAGACCCATCCTTCACGTGTCATAATATTGACAAGCAACAGCACAGTTAGCATGGGCACCTATAACTCACTAACAGACAATGCGCTTTCATTTTCAGTAGGAGAAACATGGGTGCACGGATCTGCACAACCTGGCGGGGGTGGGGGGTGGGGGGTGGGGCTCTCAAGTGCCGTCAAAGGCCCCAGCAGGAACTTCTGAGCTGAAGAGCAGATAAGCTGTACCCTGGAAGCTAGGGATGCCCTGGGGCGCAGGCCCTGGGCTGTGGCCTTTCCACTAGCCCCTGTCCCTCCAAGCAGCGGGTAAGCCGGCCCTCCCCCGGGATAAAGGGCGGAGATCTCGGACCACGCGGTGGGTGGTTCAAGTGCGGATTTTATTTCTGCAGGATTCGGACGACACAGTCATGAGGGGCAGAACCCCGCGGCGCCCCCACGGCCAGGGACAGCGGGGGACGACGACGTGGGCGGCAGGACCTGAGGAGTACGCGGGGCTCTCGGGGGGAGCGGGCCATCCCCCCAGGCAGCGCACCGCGGGGCTGGCACGGAAGAGCCAGGGGTCAGACGCCCACAGAGACGGCGCGCGCTCCAGAAGCACGCGCGCCCGGGGAACACGGAAAGCGCCCGCCACGGCGCGGGCGTGCACCAGAGACGCTAGGGAAAGAGGTTCAGGAGAAACACCAAGCTAGTGCAGGGAAGGAGTGGAAGCGCAAAAGTGAAGCGGCGGACGGTCACGGGAGGGCGTCTCCGCGGGGCCTCCGGCGCAGCGCCAGCTTCCCTCAGAGTGGCCGCGGCCGTGGCCCTGGGGCGTCCGCCCCCAACCCGCGGCGGCGCGGTCGCCCCGGCGCAGCCGCCACGCTTCGGGGCGCGGGATCCGCACGGCGGAGCCACCTGTTAGGCGCACTCGCGCGCCGTCGGAAGCCCGGCACGCGGCGGCGCGGGCCAAGCCTCCAGAAGTTCCGTCCGCGCCAGAGACGCGCGGGGAGGTCACCGCGCTGCGCTCCCAGTTCGCTGCCGCCGTCGGGGCCCAGCACGGCCCGCCTGAGGCCCCCATTTCCCCAGCCGTGGCGAGAAGTAAAGTTGCGCCCAAGAGTTAGTACCTGCGCTGAGCTCCAGGCTGGCGCCGTCGCTACCCGCGTGGCTGCTGCCCGCGGCCGCCGCCGGGCCGGGGCCGTACCTGACGACGGCGGCGAAGGAGGACGACGAGGAGGCGGCGGGGGACGGGGGCGGCGGCGCCGGAGTCCTCAGGTGGCCCTGGGTTGCGGCGGGCGTGCAGGACGGCGACGACGACGAGGCGGCGGCGGCGGCCCGGCCGGGCCCGGGCGGGTAGGGGCTCTGCGCCGGGAACGGCGGCGGCGGCGGCGGCGGCGGCTCGCTGCTGCTGATGGAGCCCGCGGCGAGCGGCGCGAAGGGCGGCGGGGGCGGCCGCACGTGCGGCAGCTCCACCAGGGTGGGTCGCTCGTAGCGCTTGGCCAGCGCCGGTCTCTTGCTGGGGAACGTCTTGAGCACGCTGTAGGGGCCGCGCTGCTTGTAGATTTTGGGGACGCTGGGCCCCTCCTCCGCCGGCTGCATCTCCTCCTCCATGCTGCGCCCCGGGGCCGGTCCCGCGTCGCGCGTCCCCTCCCCGCCGGGCGCCGGGCTCCGAGGGTGCCTCCGCCTGCCGCCCGCCGGCTCGGCCCCTGTGCGCGCGTGTGGGCGGGCGTGTGTCTGTGCCGTGGCCGCCGCCGCCGCCGCCTGTCGCTGAGGCTGGCATCGCCGAGCCCCCGCGCGGGGGGCTGCCGCCCGAGCGCTGATTGACAGGCCGCCTCGCCAATGCCTGGAGGGAGAAAGGAGGTAAAGAGCAAGTGTTTAGGGTAATATCTGCTAATGATAATGGGGGCGGGGGCGGGGCCTGGCGCCACCGCCGCCGCCGCCGCCCGCGGGCTCGGCCCGGTGGCCCCGCGTCTCCGACGAGGGGAGGGGAGGGGAGCGGGGACCCCGAGGGTGCCCCCGTAACAGGTGAAGGAAGGTGGGTACCGGGTCCCGGCTCGGGCGAGTCTCTGGAGCCCCAGAGACACACTTGAGGCTGCTGCTGTTACTGGTGCTGCTGCTGCCGCTGCCGCCGGCGAGATCCAGCTGCGGAAACGAGCGCCTGCGCCCCCTGCGTGACCCTAAACTCTCGGGTTGCACAGAAGGGGTGGGACGGAGTGGTCGGGGCGGGGTCGCCGGAGTGCGGGTGCGGAACAGCGAGTTCTGCGGGCAGGCAGCGGCTCCCTCCTCTCCCCCGCCCTTGGGAAAAGAACGTCTAGAACTGCCCGGCCCCAGGGGGTCGCTGCCTGGTTCTTTGCCCGGCCCCGGGGTTTGGGTCCGGCTGGCGCATAGCTCAGGACCCTGGAGCCCGCGCTGATCAGCTGATCAGCCCGCTTGCGTGGCTGCCGTCGGACTTTGGCGTGGTCTCATTTATTCCCGCTGCAAACCCTGCCGAAGTACACGCCACCGTAGTTTCCCCCCATGTTACAGATGAGAAAACCGAGGCGCTGTGAGGCTTAAGAGAATGGGCCACAATCAGACACTGGGGATTGGGGATTGGGGGTTGGGGTGGGAGTGTGGCTGGTTGGCAAGGATGCCTCCAGGTCTTTTGAATTCGAGTCTCACTTCCACCTGCAAGTAGACTGTGGAACTGAGCGGGGAGAGATGACCAACGCCTGCTTTTGGGACACTTCAGCCTGGTCCTTCTATGTATTGCCTGTGAGCTTGTAGGACCAGGCCGGCTGGGGCCTGAGAACTCTCCCTGCTTTGCCCAACGGGCAAATGTCAATGGTGCCACCAGTTTCCCTAGATGTTGGAAAGAACATCGCACTGGTTTGGAGAAGGATCCTTATAGGGTGCAAATATCAGCAAACAGAGAGGCGTGTCCGGAGCAGAAAGCCTGTTCCTTTCTATGTCACTGCGCCTCTCCCGTGGGCAGGTGCCCATAGCAGCATTAGGCTCCCAGGTTTGCTTTCCCGTGTTCATTCTTCCTTCAGGCGAGATTTCCTGGTGCTCCTTAATGTGGGACCCTTACCTCTCCACTCAGAAGTGTGTTTCCCTTTAAAAGCTTTCCTTGTAGTCTTGGGACTGGGACCCATTTTCTTCTGGGGGCTGGGGTCTTTGGCCTCTCGGTTTCCCAAATCTCCCTCCCTGCGGAAGCTTCTGTCTCTTTGCTGGTTCAGCCTCTGCGTCCTCCACCCTCGATTGTCTCCCTCTCTCCTGCAGCCTCCTCGTACCCCCCTTCCATTTATTAGAGATGAAATAAATAATGCCATAAATAAAAGTATTTGGGAGTCCAGGAACTGTCAGGGCTGATTAGGGCATAGAGGACATTTTCTTTCTCATTATGCAAAAGCATTTCATGGGGAAATAAAAGAGGTTTCATTGTAACTCATGCATGTCATATTTCAAGGAATTCAAGATATTAATCATATTTAACATTATTTGCAACGTTTCTCCCTGGCTTCTGAAAACTGCTAAATGAGGACACGTGGATCACTAGGAAAAAGGGAGACAAGCGTGAGAGGGACAGTTAAGAAATAATGAAATGCCGGTGAAAGACAGAGAGAATGAGATGCCAGGGAGATGTTCCTTAGGCACCTAGGTGAGAAATGGGGGAGCTACTTCTGAGACATGAGACAGCTGAAATTGAATGATATACTGGAGGAAATAAATGATAACAAGCCTCTCCACACTTTCCTTTCTATAAAGCAGTTCTGAATTTTGCATTGAAATGTTCCCCTCCCACTTTACTCCTAGATAATTTGCCAATAAGCCCTGGCTTTTGAAAAGAAATTGGAGGTGGCGGTGGTGGTGTGGGAGGTTTAGAGGGAAGAAGTGACAGAGGCTTTGTCTTCTGCTTCTGTATTTTTAATTTGGGTCATTCTCGCCAGTTAAACACCTTAAACGATGGGGAACGATACTTCTGTTATATTTTGCCAACTAAAAGGACCTGACATCCTTTACATCAAAAAGTGGTCATTTCTAGAAAACTGGGTGCTGGTTGCTGTGTAACAGTAGGAAGTGGGCCTAAAGGGAGGTGGTTAGCCCCGGGGGCTCCACCCTGGTGAACTGTTGAAAGCTGAGTACAAAAGGGCTGGGGGCTGCGATTTCAGTGTCCGACTCTCTCTTTCACCCATAGCATTCCACCTGTCCTGTGATGACACAGCGAAAAGGCTCTCTCTCAGACGCGGCCCCTCAGTCTTGGATTTCCCAGTTTCTAGAACCGTAAGAAATGAATCCTTATTTATTTATTTATTTATTTTTATTTAATGACAGAGTTAGTGAGAGAGAGAGGGACAGAGAGAAAGGTCTTCCTTCCATTGGTTTACCCCCCAAATGGCTGATACTGCCTGGTGCACGGCGCTGATCCGAAGCCAGGAGCCAAGCGCTTCCTCCTGGTCTCCCATGCGGGTGCAGGGGCCCAAGCACTTGGGCCATCCTCCACTGCCTTCCTGGGCCACAGCAGAGAGCTGGACTGGAAGAGGAGCAACCGGGACAGAATCCAGCGCCCCAACCGGGACTAGAACCTGGGGTACCGGTGCTGCAGGCGGAGGATTAGCCTAGTGAGCCACGGTGCTGGCCTGAATCCTTATTCTTTACATATTTGTTAGTGCAACCCAAAACAGACTGAGTCAAACATTGATACTGAGAAAAGGAGCTGTTTTTCTAACAAATACCTGGAAATACAGAAACAGCTTTGGAACTGGGTTATAGGTAGAGGATGGAAGAATTTAGAGGCATGGGCATTAAAGGCGATTCCGGTGAGGGCTCAAGTGAGCCCTGGGTAGGGAAAGCTGAAACTTCTTAGAGATTTTATAAGTGATGGTGATGAAAGTGTTGGTGGAAGTATGAGCGAGGAAGATCCTGCTGATGAGGTCACAGATGGAAATGAGGAGCAAGGTATTGGAAACTGGAGTAGGAGCCACCTTTGTTATACCCTTGCAGAGAACCTGGTAGAATCGCACCCATGTCCTAGAACTTTGTAACGGCAGATTTTAAGAGCGATAAACTCAGTTATCTGGCAGAAGAAATGTCTGAACATCAAGGCATCCCAGACACTGCCTGACTTCTTTTGGCTCTCTGCAGAAAAATTAGACAAGGGAGAGAAATGATTTAAAGATGGAATTTATAATTAAAAGAAAAATAGGGAAGAAAGCTTTGGAAAATTTGTAGTACAGAGTAACAAAGCTTGTTTGGGAGAGAGTGCTAAGGGTGTGGTCAAGTAACTGTTTACTAAAGAGAGTAACATGGACAGGAGGCAGCCAGGGGGTACACACTGTGATACAGCAAATTAAACTGCCACTTGGGACCCAGCATTCCATACCAGAGCACCAATTTGAGTCCTGACTCCTCCACTTACAATTCAGCTTCCTGCTAATGTGCCTGACAATTTAGAGACCTAACACTGCTGATGTGTCCAGGAGGCAGCACATGGGGTGAAAATTCATTGTGAAGCCCTAAGACTTAACGTTTTTCACCCTGTTGAGTGTTGGACTTACTTGGGATCAGTTACTTCATTCTCACTTTTGGAATGAAAGCGTCTGTTCTATGCCTGTCCTATCATCGGGTTTTGGAAGTAGATAAATTGTTTGATTTCCCAGGCTCGCAATTGGGGAATTTGCCTCAAAATGAATCCTGCCTTCAATCTCACCCACTTCTGATTGCATGAAACTCTGGATTTATTTTATTTGAAAGACAGAGGCATTTTCTATCTGCTGGTTCACTCCCCCTAGTGCCTGCAACAGCAGAGCTGAGTCAGGCTGAAGCCAGGAGCCTGGAATTCAATCCAGGGCTCCCATGCAGGTGGCAGGGACCCAAATACTTGAGCCATCATCTGCTGCCTCCATCCCAGGGTGAGCATTAGCAGGAAGCTGGGGTTGGAAGTGGAAGCAGTACTCAACCCCAGGCACTCCAATATGGGACATGGATGTCTCAAACAACATTTTAACCTCTGCACCAAATGCCAATCCAGGACTTTGGATTTTTGAGTTGATGTTGGAGTAAGTTAAGACTTTTGGGATTATTGGGATAGAATGCGTGTGTTTTCTATATGAAAAGTAATGTGTTTGGGTGGGGGCAGGGGCAGAATGCTCTGATTTGAATTTCCTTTCTCAAAAGCATATTGTTGGAAACTCAGTCCCGAATAATGCAATAGTATTGGCGAGTAGGACCTAATAGGAGGTGTCTAGAATGTGAGGGCTCCACTTCATGACAGGGTGAATGCTGACTATATAAGGGCTTGAGGGGTAAGCATTTGGCCTAGCTGTTAAGTTGCTGCTTGGGATGCCCCCATCTAATCAAATAGTACTTGGGTTTGAGTCCCTGCTGTGTTTCAGCTTCCAACTTCCTGCTAATATGCACTCAAGGAGGCATCAGGTGATGGCTCAAATACCTGGGTCTCTGCCACCCATGTGAGAGACCTGGATAGCGTCCCAGCTCCGAGATTTGAGATTTAGCCTTGCCCAGCCCCAGCTGTTACAGGCATTTGTGGAGTGAGCCAATAGATGGGAGATCTGTCTCTGTCTCTCTTTCCCTCTGCCTTTCAAATAAATAATGAAATAAATAAATAAAAACTTTAAAAAGGCATTAAAAAATGAAATGGCTTGAATCTGCAAGTTCGACCTCTGATTCTTTTTAGCCCAGGAGTGCCTCCTGCATAAGAAGGCCCTCACCAAGCTCTTGAGCCATGAGTCAAATAAACTACTGTTGTTTATAAATCACTCAGTCTGTGGCATTCTGTTATAGAAGCACAAAATGGACTAAAATAGTGGTGTGGACAAATGGACTAAAATAGTGGTGTGGACAAATAAATAATAACAGAGAGAGAAGAAAAGAAAAAAAGAGGCATCCCAGAGGTGAAATATTAGAAATTTTAGAATGATCAGCTTTCAGATCCTCATGTGGGCAGTAACATAGGTCTGGGTCCATAGAAAATTGGAATTCTTTATTACGTTTTAGAAAATAAAATGGGCAGGGGCCGATGCTGTGTTGGAACAGGTAAAGCTGCCATCTGCAGTGCTGGCATCCCATGTGGGTGCCGGTTTGAGTCCTGGCTGTCCTATTTCCGATCCAGCTAATACCTTTGGAAAGCAATGGAGGATGGCTCAAGTACTTGGGCCCCTGTCACCCACTTAGGACACCTGGTTCCTGGCTTCTGTCTTGCACAGCCTAGCCGTTGCAGCCATGTGGGGAGTGAACCAGTGGATGGAAGATCTCTTGTCTGTAACTCTGCCTTTCAAATAAATAAATATTAAAAAAGAAAAGAAAAGGGGCATTCACTCCAAGTGTGGAGTTGAATGTAATTTAAAAATTTTAACTGACCACCTGCCTGGGATTGTACTTAACTGAATTCTGTACATAAATGTAATGTGTTGTAGTGTTTATAAAATCGCTGGTAGTGCTCAGTCACATCTTACTCTAAATTGTACTCTAAATTATCAGATGGTGGCTTTGCTGATATCTTCTCTTGGAGATCATATAGGGGCTGATATGGTAATTACCTGTGTTTTAAATCTTTTTAGATATTTACTCTTATCTTTAAAAAAAAGATAGTGAATTTTTAAAAGCCAAGTGACTATTTATGGACAGGGTGATTTTTTGATTGGCAGCATGTCAATTCCTTAAGCCATCCAGAATATAGCTTTTAAATAACTCAGCCATGGGAAATGCTTTTTATTGCACCAATTTCAATGATATTTAATGAGCTTCTGATTGACTGTTTGATCTCCCAATGTTTTGTGCTACTTTTAATTCATTTCGTATAATAGAAAAAAAAGTAATTGGAATAAAATTTTGTGACAAGATAATGACCTTCCACTTTGAAATTAAATGTCTGATTAGCTTCAACATTTTAATGCTGAGATGATATTGCAGCAGGAACAGGAGTGTGCATACTATCATTCAGTGGAAAAAGACTAGGAATACTACTTCGCTTTTCTTATTGTACAGCAAAAGAGGGTATGGTGGCCGTGGAATCACAGCACATAGGCCTAGAAGAGCCTTCAGCAGTCTTTTATTCTTGGGACTGAGCCTATGCCCATAGCCTTTCAGCAGCCCCGTCATGGAGTTGTACAAACTGTACTGAATACCTCCTGGGATAGGAATCTTGAAACCTCCAGACACATCATTCACCCAGGTATTTATCCAACAAATATTTATTGAGTGTCTCCTATGTGCTAGGTACCTTTCTAAGTGCCAGGGTATATAACAGGGTATAAACTTTTATAGAATTAGGGGGAAAGGAACCATATATTAAACAAACTAGTAACCAACTTAAAAATATTATTCAAGAGGGGCTGGCGCCGTGGCTCACTTGGTTAATCCTCCGCCTGCTGCGCCAGTATCCCATATGGGCACTGGGTTCTAGTCCTGGTTGCCCCTCTTCCAGTCCGGCTCTCTGCTGTGGCCCAGGAAGGCAGTGGAGGATGGCCCAAGTGCTTGGCCCCTGCACCCGCATGGGAGACCAGGGAGAGGCACCTGGCTCGTGGCTTCAGCATAGCTCCGGCCATAGCGGCCATTTGGGGGGTGAACCAATGGAAGGAAGACCTTTCTCTCTGTCTCTCTCTCTAACTGTCTAACTCTTATCTGTCAAATAAATAAAAAAAATTGATTTGAAAAATATTATTCAAGAGGCATTTAGCCTAGTGATTAAGATGCTGGTTGGGTTGTCCACATCTCTTATCAGAGTGCCTGGGTTCAAATTCTGGCTCCAGCTACTGACTCCAGCTTCCTGCTAATGGTCACCCTGGAAGACAACAGATGGTGTCTCAAATAGCTGGGTCCCTGTTACCCACATGGGAGACCTGAATTGAATTCCTAGCATCCAAATTTAGATGGCTGTTGCAGGCATTTGAGACATGAACCAGTGGATGCTAGTCTGTCTCACTATCTCTCTGCCTCTTAAATAAATTTAAGTTAAAATAAATAAATTTTACAAGTTTTATTTGAAATGGACATAGCTATAACCAAAAAAAAAGAGTGAGGAGGTTACTTTTGATAAAGTGGCTGAGAGGATCTCTCTGAGGTGGATCAGTTGAGCTGAGAGTTCACTGGTGAGAAAAGCCGTGCATGGGAAGAGCAGTTCAGACTAAGGGACAACCAGTGCAGGAACCATAACAGGAATAAGCTTGGTGTTCTCAGGGAGCTGGAAGAAGGACACGCAGAAGGAAGTGCCCTGGCCAGGGACAGAATGAGGAGACAAAACCCAAGAGGCAGGCTGTGCCCAG